CAGCGCTGCCGTGGCCGGGAACTGACCTGCACTTGGGGAGTCCATCGCCGGAGACCATATTATCCCTGCGGGGAGGGGGCCGGCGGGGGAAGGAGGGGGAGGCCGGGCCGGGAAGACAGGGAGGAAGGCAAGCGGACTGGCAGGGGAAGGAGGAAGGAAGCAGTCTCGCGCAAACACCGCGAGAGTCGCAGAGCTGGCCCGGGGTCCGCGCACGCGGGGTTTGCCGGCTAGCTCTCGCGAGATCTTAGGGCCGGGTGAAACAAAGAAAGAGAAGGGCGGAGCCAGGCCGTGGGCGGGTCCCTGCGCAGTCTCCGCCGCTCTCCGAAGCGGGGGTGAGCGGTGCGGGGGCGGAGCCTGGGCAGGCAGTGGGTTCAGCTGCGGGGAGCGGTAGGGTCCGTTACTTGGCGGTCGCCCCAAGTGTCCGATGAGGTTTTTGAGGTCCAGCGACGTCTTCAGGGTGTCTTTTGGGGGAAAGGGTCAAGATTGGAACTCTTAGGAGAAACAGCTTAAGGAGAACCCGTCCCCCACCCCTTGTGTTAAGCCGTGATGTTCTCCAGAGAAGATGGCCAGGCTGATGGGACACATAGGCAATCAACTAACCTGTCTCCTAAACTGAAAGGAGAATATCCAAATACTTGTTACCACAAGCACCTCGTGTACAAAACCCCTCCAAAACAATCACCACCCCCCAAGCCAGTGAGTCCTTTTGTGCTGCCGGTACCAGTAAATGGCACTGCCCGAGCACCCCCCAGAACGCTGTCCTCGACTCCTCCCTCTTCCATTAGACGTCCACTTGATCTATCTGCTTTCTAATTACTTCCCTCGTTACCACCCCGGTCCAGACAACTGTGACAACCTTCTCAAAAAGTCTCTGGGGCATGACTGTTCTGACCATTTCCATGATACTGAAACAAACTCGGAAGGGCATGGTAACCGAACTCAGATACCAAGCAACTGACTTGAGGTTTGAAATCCATTCAGAGGGAAGCAAGAGCTCATGTTCAACTAAAAAGTTCATGATCTGGTGTCTCATACCAAATAGTTTACACCCTGACATGCTGAACTTCAGGCGCAATTGCGTACTACCTCTAGAATATCTCAGTTTCTTTTTTTCTTGGAACACTCTGTGCACTGTCGGGCTAACCCTTACGCATTCTTCGCGACTAAACCAGGTTTTTCTTTTTTAAGATTTATTTATAGGTCGGGCAGCAGTGGCGCACGCCTTTAATCCCAGCACTCGGTTTGAGGCCAGCCTGGTCTACAGAGCGAGATCCAGGACAGGCACCAAAACTACACAGAGAAACCCTGTCTTGAAAAAAAAAAAAACAACAACAACAACAAAAAGATTTATTTATGTGTGTATCTATATTCTACATGTTATGCCCAAGGAGGCCAGAAGATAGTGTCGGGTCATCTGGAACAGGAGTTGTAGACAGCCGTGAGGCAAGTGCTCTTAACTGCCAACCCATCTCTCAAACCTCATGGTTTTTATTATTTAGTCTGGGCTTTTAAAACAGTGTTTGTTGTGGTCCTGGGGATTGAACTGAGGTCTTCTATAAGAGCAGAAAGTGCTCTTAACTGCTGACCCATCTCTCCAGGCCCAAGACAGTCTCTTTCTTATATAATCACACTACAACAATTAAATTCAAGAAATTTAGCATTGATACAGTAATATGTATACTTACATTTTATGTATTTGAATAATTAAGCCTTATTAATATTCTATACTCAAACACTGACACAGTTTGCAGCCAATACTCAAATTTTGCCAATTGTTTCAATTGTCTTATTTTTATTTTGTTTATTTGTTTGTTTTGAAATACAATCTTGCTATGTAGCACAAGCTGATCTGGTATTCACCATATAGCCCAAGCTAGCTTCAAACTCATGGCAGTTTGCCTCAACCTCCCACGTACCGGGATTACAGACATGTGCCACCATGCCCAACTAATACTGCTTTTCTATGTACTTCTTTTCACCTCAAAATCCAATCCTATCTAATCTGTAACTTAGAACAGCTTCTTAGGTGTTTATTTTCCTTGGAGCTGTTGGTATTTTTCAAAGTACACTAGTCAGTTCTTTTGCAAAATGTTCATTAGTTGGAGGTTGCTTGCCCAGTTTTTTTCTTCCTGATAAGGTTTCTTAGGTGAGTCCAACCTTTTGACATTGCATCATGACGTTATCGTTACAAAGTTCACACACGTTTATGCAATCAAGTTAGCAAAAATATCATGCTTTATTTATTTACAGTCTTTAAGGTTTTTAATGGCAAAAGATGTAAACTGGCACCAGCACTTAGGCCACTGGAACGACACCTACTAAGTGTGTTTCAGCAATGTCACTGGTGACTCTCTGTGTATCTGAAGATGGATTGTAGAAAAAGCGCTAGATTACTGCTTATAATAAAATTTGAAGCAGTTGCAATGCCTACCCAAGGAGCATGAGTGAAAAGTGCAGAACACTCCCGTAAAGGTATGCTACGTGATGTTAAAAGTGACTTTGAGCCATATGTATTAACACACAGATGAAAATAATCCTTTTTTTTTTTTTTTTTGGTTCTTTCAAGACAGGGTTTCTCTGTGGAGCTTTGCACCTTTCCTGGAACACACTCTGTAGCCCAGGCTGGCCTCGAATTCACAGTGATCTGCCTGGCTCTGCCTCCGAGTGCTGGGATTAAAGGTGTGTGCCATCACCACCTGGCTCAAATAATATAAATCTTTAAAAAAAAAAAAATTCAGGACCATCTGCTGCCACAGACCTGGAATACATGGGGCTCTGTAAGAAGAAGAGCAGCAAACCCCACCCTTATGGATTTCATTGCCCCACCCTAATCCATCCTAACCCCTCAGGTTGTGGCAGGTTTGATTGATTAAGAACCTACTGGAACAGGATTTATCATAACACAATGAAATGATCCATGTCAATTGTAATACCTGTACTCAAAAGTGGAGGCAGGGGAGGAGGATTTTGAGTTCAAGACCAGACTGGCCTAGTATCAATCCCTGTCTCAAAATCAACACAAGAGGGGGAGAAGAGGAGGAGGAGCAGAAGGGGAGGAGGAGCAGAAGGGGAGGAGGAGCAGAAGGGGAGGAGGAGCAGAAGGGGAGGAGGAGCAGAAGGGGAGGAGGAGCAGAAGGGGAGGAGAAAGCAAGCATGTAGGCACAGCGGGAACTTTGCCCTGTGAAGAAACCGTGGTCCAGAGTGAGACACGAGCATGAGACAGGTGATCAGTCTACAAGCCAGGGCAGGCCTGACTAAATCCTTCCTGCAGCCTTCCCAGGGAGCCAGCCCGGCCAACCTCCATCCAGGCTACTAGCCTCCAGAACTGTGGGAACTTCTGTTGTTTTTGCCACCCACTTTGTGGCACAGAAGCCCCAGGAAACTTCTACCAATGCCTTCTTTGATTGGCTGGGGTATAGCAGGAACAATATAGTCAAGAGACCTGGGGTTAATGCCAGCTTAGCTCTGAACGTGGCTATGATCACATCCAAATGGATCTATCAGGCCTCATGCTGCGAAATTCCTCAGTCTAAACAGAAGTAAAATGTCTAGGTTCAGGAATGATTTCCTGTGGCCTACAATTGTGTTTCCACTTTCTGATATGGACCTGATGTTTGTCCCTTTTATCAAAGATACAGCGGCGTCAAAGTGGAATTCCCAAATGTTGCTTGCCCTCATCCATCAGTACTGTATGTAGTTCAGGTTCTGGTCATTTCTTACCTGGCATTATGTTGAGCCATATCAAATTGACCACTCCAGGCTCGTTGCACGCCCTGGTGGATAAACACACTGGCCATGCAAGCCTGGTGGCCTGTGTTTGATCCCCAGAATCCACGGAAGGATGGAAGGAGAGAACCAACTCCCCAAACTTGTCCTCTGACCTCTGCACACATGCTGTGGCACTTGGACTTTCACACACATGCACAATCACACACACACACACACACACACACACACACACACATCCATAACCTTTGGCCACTGTAACCTAAAAGTGGTGATTTTATATAATTCAGCTTACTAATTTTCTAACAAGTCTCCCTGTTTCATTCTCGACTTCTTCATCCACCATTGCTCCAAACACTCTCCCAACTCCACCCTTAGAGACAAATCTGATAAGGTTTGCTTAAAATCCTTCAGAGTTTCTACACATGTCTAACAAAATCAGACTTCCCAGCTCAAAGTCTGAGGTCCTCTTGGGCCTAGAGTATTTTTTTTAAGCATGCATCAGTGTGTGTGTGTGTGTGTGTGTGTGTGTGTGTGTGTGTGTGTGTGTGCGCGCGCGCGCGCGCGCGCGCATGAGAGCATGTGTATTTTGAGACGGTTTCATGTATCCCAAACTAGCCTCCAAACTGCTATGTAGCTGAGGAAAATCTTGAACTTCTGATCCTCTGCCTTTGTCTCCTAGTGTTGGGATTACAGACATGTGTCACTATGCCTGATTTCTTTCTTTTTATTTATTTATTTATTATTTATTTATTTATTTATTTATTTATTTATTTATTTATTTGATGCTGAATGTCGTTTATTGAAGGAGGGAGGAGGTCTTAAATACAGGCTTACAGCACAATGGGAGAATCCCGGAGGGCAGAAGTTTGCTACCAATGTTTTACAATCTTGCATCTAAACTGTTAATGCCCATTATGCAGGATATACATATAAGGATCTTCCCTTAAGCAGGGTGGAATCTGGCAGGGAATTAGCACAGGGAGGATATCAAGGTCAAGGTCAGCAAGCAAGGCAACAGTTACCCAAAAAGGGGGCCAGGGCCCTACAGGTCCCCTTTTTACTAATAAATGAGTTTCTGACTTAGGTTGAGTGGGACGTCAGTAGGTCACCTTACCTGTCATGGAGACACCTGCCCAGGCCACACAGGAGCTCTGTCTTAGGTTGGTGAGTGCCCCCCAGTTATTACTTGTCTCTGAATACTCATTATCATACAGGCTCATTCGTGTGTGTGTGTGTGTGTGTGTGTGTGTGTGTGTGTGTGTGTGTGTGTGAGCTGCAGAGTTAACTGCTGCCAAAGATCTCAAAGTGGCACTGTATGCCTGATTTCTTTGGTCTTAACTGTGGACAGAAGTCTTTTTTCCTTCCTATGTCTGTTTCTCTCTCTCTCTCTCTCTCTCTCTCTCTCTCTCTCTCTCTCTCTCTCTCTCCTCCCTTTCTTCTGTTGTTGACAAGGTCTTATTCTGTAACCCAGGCTGCTCTCTAACTCATAACAATCCTCCTGCTTCAACCTTCAGAGTGCTGGGACTATAGGCACATGCTATAATCACACTCAGCTACAAACCCTATTCTTACCTGGTACTGTAACAGAGTTTCAGATCTAGTCTCTGGCTTCAGGAGTCCCAAAGACTCCTCTAGCCAATGTCCCAATAGACCAGTTAAACAGTAAACTAAAGTTCCCAGAAAAAAGCCACATCTGGGTGAAAGCGTCTACAAGGCCTATTCGATTGACTGGGGCAAATGTCCTGATGATACAAAGTTAGAATGCTTTAGATCCAGAGTCTATCTGGGCTAGTATTAGTCCCTTAATAACTACCCATTACCTCCTCTAACTCTGACCTAATGTCCCTCTGACTGTCAGATGAAATCTCTGGAATACATTCTCAGCAGACTACCAGCTTCCAAAGGTTTGGAGTTTCCCTGCTCTTCTGGGACCCACCTGCCTGACGCCCCTGTCAGTGTATTTGGTAAGTGCCTTATTTATAACTCCTTCATTCTATAAAAAGTTCATGAAACCACCTCCACATGGGAACACATCATTCAGGACACCCTGGATCTGTGTTCTCAGGCCATGGTCACTCTGTCATATTTGGCTGAGAATTCCTTTTGAGATAAGGGTCTGAGTTTTTGGGTTGACACCTCAATACTGATGAAAGCAGAGAAAGGACATCTAGTTAATCACTGTGGCCACACTGGGCAGGAAAGATAAAGAGATTCAGTGGCCCTGGGTCCTCCATATTTAAGGCACTGATACAAGCTTTAGGTCTAGATAGTGGAGTAAGGTGCAGGGGGAGAGTTATACCTAATTAAACAGGCTTGGTCAAGCTGTGTGGGGTCTGGTTGTCAACGTTCTGGTTTTGCTTGGCTTGAGGGAAAGCAGTTAATTCTCACAAAGAGCATCACTCCTGCTCCAGGCTGGCGCCTCGCCATCATAGATTGATGCCCTCACTTGGGAGCCATCCACTGCTTGGGTGTAGTTCCAGCCCTTATCAGAGGTGCCTGTTGGTCCTGTTCTTGGAATTTAAGGTGAATGCAGGTCTAGGACAATGACCTGAGACATTTATGTTCCTTGTTGGAAGTCTAGAAGAGGACGGTGTAAAGGCTGACAGTGATGTCCAGGCAGGGATAAAGATGTTGAAGAGACTCCTATAGCTCCCTTTGACTATCATACTTTTGAAACAATGGACATTTCCCCAGGAGTCTCATGCCGAGAGAATGAAAGGGCCCAAGTCTGATACCAGCCAGGGGAGGAATGGTCTCATGGAAAGAGGGTTTACGGTTCTTTCCTGTCGGACCACCTTGCCGGAGAGACTGAAACAGAGACAGGGATGGGTCAGTGGTGGCTGAGACCATAACTTGACCCTCTCGTCCTCTATTTAAAACCTGAACTTTATATCAGGACCAAAGACAGACCTGAGAGATATGGTGATTAGTATTGACACCTAAAAAGGAGCTGGAATTACCTAGCCTCTGGGCACATCTGTAAGAGCATGCCTGTAGGGGATGACCTTGATTAGGCTCACTGAGATGGGAATACCCACTCACTGTGAGTGGCACCATCCCCTGGGATGAGATCCTGGACTGAGTAAAAGGGAGAAATCGAGGTGAGCATAAACATTCCCTGCTTTCCACTACCCAGTTGTGGATGCAATGTTCCAGCTGTTTCAAGCCCCGCTGCCCCGACTTCCGACTTCCCAGCCATTATGAGTGCGTCCTCTCGAACAACCAGCTGAAACAAACCCTTTGTCCCCTGAGCTGCTTTTTTCAGGGTATTTTATCACAACAGCAGGTAAAGTAACTAAGATAAGGGGACCACTGGACCTCCTTATTGATTCTTCTCCATGTGGCCACATACTTTTTTACCATTACATATCTGCATATTTGCCTGGGTGGCCCAGACAGATTTATTTGGCCATCTAGGGTCTTACAATGACTAGAGAAGACAGATACAAAATGAAGGTAGAAGCAACAGACTTTCAGCCACTTTTGAAACAGGCACTTAAAAGTTGCTTCACCTAAAAGGCATTGTCTCCTAGCTTGAACCCAAAAGGCGGCTGAAGGGAAAGCGACGTTTCTGCCTTCATTTGGTACCTCCTTTATTTTGATTGAAGGCATGGAGATAAAGAATTGTCCTAAATCAACAGTCACTTTGGGTCCCAGGAAGAGTAAAGGCCATCAGAACAGGCCACCTCTCATTCCCCCGAGAGGTTCGTTATCCTGGAGCAGAAGCAATCCCTTCCTGAGAGCCACCTTGTCCTTCAAGCACAAAGGACTTCTTAGGATCACCTTCTGGGGTGAGAGCTGAGGCCACCAATGATGCATGTGACCACACCTTGACCAGGACTGCTTAATTATGCATAGGTCTTGCTCCATGCTCCAATTCATCCTCTAAAACTCATGTCAGTGTCTTAAAGATAAACTTAGGGTCACTGTGCCATCATGGCCTTGATCTGGACTTGGCTTGGTTCCCCAGTCTTTGTGATCACTATCGAAAGAACTGGAGATGAGGCACATAAGAAACTAGGGTAGAAGATAGCTTATTACAAACTGAACAGAAGCACTTTCCAGTCCAGGTGAGACCAAATGGCTGAAGAGGACATTGTGTGACATATCTGTTATTATTTCTAAAGCCTCTGAACCAGAGCAGCATTTTCCTGTCCAGGTGATTGACTAGTCCACTGGGATCAACCCTTGGGGAAGGACAACAATGGTACGTCTTTGTTCTTCATTAGGAAGCCTCTGGCTGGACAATAACCTTATCACTGCCTTCTCAGCAGTTTAGAATGCCATGTCTCCATGCAGAGCCAAACATACTTAATTCAGATCAGTCATCAGAGTCTTGCAGTGTGACTTCCTGACTTCATAAACTGTTGATAATGAGGGAGGGGTCCATCCCCAGGACCTTCAACCCTGTTAATATCTAAATAGCTACCTAACAATCACCCTTCAAGAACCAAGACCCTTTGATCACATTTCAGGCATGTCCAACCCACATCCTACCTAATAGGAGACGGGTGTTGCATCGATCTGATTGTTTCTGGATGAAATGAGGTGGAAAAGGATTTAGGGTCTTCATTCCCGCTAATTTTCAGGCCTCAGATCAAAGGGACCAAGACAGATGGAGTGAAGCTGCCTTCTCCCCTCCTACTCAGCTAAGTGCATAAAGTTCAAAGACTAATAGGATCCACCCATCTCAACTATGAGTAGAGGTCACAGCCAGCCGTGGTGGCTCCCCTCCCCCCACCCCACCCCTAGTTTCCTGTTAGGAAACTGATTTTGCTCTATGTAGTAGGCCATTGATGGGAGTCTCAGGTCCTAGTGCCAGTTTTTGCAACTTCTTCCCGATGCCAGGAACAAATTGAGTGGTCATTTGTCCCGAAGACTGTACCTCTAAAATCAAAGGAATCAGTAAGAGTGGACATTTGTATGACCTCAGTTGCTATGGAAAGGCAGTAGGGTGTTTATTAGGCCCCTGGTCAAGAGTGGCCAGATTGGCATGACTCACAAGCTGTACCTCAGTCCCTCAAGTTCACAGATATTGAAATGAAGGCATTTCTGGGTAATGGGGATACTGGTGTGATAAACCTATCATGGGAAATCCGCTCTGGGCTACTCAGACTCTATCATGTGTAACTCATTGTATATTACCTCCCTTTAAATCATTAAAATGATCTCAGACACACAGATGAGGCCAAAGTTGCCTATTGAGATGATACATGTTTTCCTATAGGCATCTCAACGGAAGATATTAAAGACAATAAATGAAGTGTGTTTGCTTAGGGCCAAAATGATCTTTAACCTTGAGTTTTTAGTACTTGCCTCTCATTCTTCAACCTAAGGAATACATTTTGTAAATCCACCTGATCACATTGTAAAGTAAAATATTTGGGGGGGGGCGGGGCAGAGGGGGGTTATAAGTGCACCTGTGGAGGCCAGGAGTTAAGATTCCTTTCCACATTATTGCTGCTGTTCTAAGAAAGGGCCTCTCACTGCTCCTGATGCTCACTGATTGGCAGGCTGGCTGGCCTGAGAGCTCCAGGAGTCCTGTCTCCCCTCCCCTTACGGAGAGAGGTCAGGCACACTGGATCCACACTGGATTCACAGCGCGCCACCCACGGAGCCCTCTCCACAGCATTACAAAGGAGAAGTCTTTAACCGTTACACCCTGCTGTAAATTACAGCCTCTGAGGAAGGGGCCACAGGACCACATGCTGCCATTATAAAGATAATAAGGCACAGTTTTCCCCTAGGAAGCCCATACCCATGTGCGGGTTTGTCTTATTCTCTCCCTGAGCATCTCTTTCTGTGAACCCTCTGTTTAAGATGCATGCCAAAGTGGATGTTCATAAACCCTGGCTCGGCTACACACTGGGCTCCCTGAAAGTCAAGAATCCCGGTCTTGCCTTAATGGCAGTCCTTAAGGAGAACGGAACTCTCCGGGCTGCTGTGGGTGACACTGGGGAGCTGTGCGCCTGTCCTTGTCACTGCTTGCAAACACCGCCTGAGGTGGGTTAAAGGGTAGTACTGTCAACCCCTTTAAACTAACTCAAGAAACACTTTATCACGGGGCAAGAGGGATACACGAAAAATATCACATGAGCATAGGCACCTTCCTTCCGAGAAAGACCCCCGGGTTAGGTTAGCAGGGATGGGCGTGGCAGGAGAGGGGGGCATACAAGAGGAGCAAGAGGAAGTGACCTCAGCATACGGTTCTGAAAATAAAGGAGAGCCCATAGTCAAGGAAGTTGTACATGGAAAGGAACGGGACATTCCACGGTCTAAACCCAAAGAAGGGAAGTCCCCACCTTATCCTGATGAAGATGAAGGAAGTATGACTCCAACCAAGCAGGAACACCAGATGTTCTGAGACAGAGGAGGATAGAAAGGGAGGCCTTTGTCTGATCTTAGGCAAGGCCATGTTTATTCACCGCAAGGGGACATGTTGTTATCCACCTGTGTGAGTGAGCAAAATGCCCACAGAAAAACGGAAATTACTAATACACTACATTATGTTCATTGCTGTAGCCCCTCCCTTCTGGAGCCTCCTTGACTGGCTGCAAGGAAAGCTGGGAAGTGTAGTCTTTTAGCAGGAAACTTTTTTTTTTAAACTCATGGGTGTGATAGCTGCTTCTGCTGAGGAGAGTCTTTGTCAGAGGGGGTAGTTCTGGGTCCGTTGAAGAGGGGTCCTCCAGTCACACAGCAGGGAGAGAGTCTTAACTTGATCGGCTACAATGGATCAGGTGATTGCCATCCTTATTCCTGAAGAAGAACTGGAAAATAATCACTAGAGGGCTGTGAGCAGACGATTTGGTTACAGAGTAAAAACTGGGAGACTCCTCAGGAAGGCTGAGGGATGGGAGCAGCAGAGGTGGGGAGACGGAGTGAGCCGGTGAGAGGAAGTGGGCCTAGAGTTGTTACCAGGACTGCGGCACCAAGAGGAGCTGGCAGAGTAGCAGGGAGCGTCAGA